AAAATAGAGACCCGACTTGAGGGCTAACTTACTGTTTTCCTTTAACAAGTCATTTGGTCATTGTGTTTTCTGTTCATCATCTTGGGCTGAATTCTAACTGCACCACTTAGTTATATGGCCCTGGAGTTACTTCACCCTCTTTCAGACTCTGTCTTTAAAATGTGGATAATAATGTTTATATCTCAGGGCTTTTGACAAGAGAATAGCAGCTATGATACGCAATATATGTTCATTTTTCTCTCCTCCCCTTCACCCTTGTCATATCTCTACTTTTATTCATAAGGGCAGCACCAGAACTCATGAGATAGTTGTTCTCACCAGCTGTCTACACGGTGTCATGCCCACGCCCATGGCCTGGTATCCACTGAATCAGTTTCAGATTTCCCTTTTGCTCCCTGTACCACTCACCAGCCTATCTGGTCTCGGCAGCCAAGCTGGCCCCGGGTCTCTCCACTCCAGGCTCCCTTTGGCTTAAAGGGATTCCTCCTTCAGTGGACACTTCTGCTGCTTCATCCTGCCCGTCACTCGGGGGCCTGGCCAATACCCTAGTTTCACCACCAGGTTATATCTCTTTCCTTTTCAAAAACTCTTTTAAAAACCAAATCGTTCCAGGAAGGCCTCAAGGCCAAGATTGATAATGTTAAAGAGCAGCAGTTCAACCGAATAAATCTGAAGATCTGATTGACTTTATTAATTGATTCATGAATCAGGCAGCATCCCATCTAGCAAATAGAGAGAAGCTCTGAGGAGTTGTGCAAAATGGAAGGTTTTTATAGGAATGACGGTGGGGCAAGGAACTCATTAGCAAAAGAAAAGAAAGGACTGTTCCAGGCAAGGTTACCTTCCATTTAGAGGAAAGCGTCTTATTAGGTAGATTACCTTACATTTCTTTGGGGGCTTGGAGAAGTCCATGTGACAGGTTGTCATTGGTGCTATTCAGAAAATTCCTGACTGACCTATCAAGACCACATTTCTGGGGAAGGTTGAAGCTTCAGTTGGGTTAGATATTAAGCACTGGTTTGGTGAGTCGGCCTAAGTGGCTCCATTTTGGGCCTGTGATCTTCTATTTAGCCATAATATGCCATTTTCCTTTACTTCTACCCTTCCACAGCTTAACTGTGAGGGGGAAACTAGAGAAGGAAATAAAATAGCCCAAACTCCTAGAACATATTCTATTTGAGGTGCAGCCTTTAAGTCTGAGCAGGCCTCTGGTAGGCCAGAGGAGCAAGCAACTACCTGCTTGCTGGCCTTGAGAGAAGACTGGCTTTTCAGGGGAGCGGGGCGGTAGGGCTCCACGAGAGCTTCTGGAGAGGAAATAATCGCATACGCAAAAATCAAGACACGATGACCTTCATAACAGCAGTGACCTTGTTTAGCTGGAAAATTGCCTGAGAATTGGCCTTGCTGTCTAGCTACATGCAAATTAAATGCAAATTAGTTACCAATTTGCTTATTTTAGTCCTGGTATTTGTTCACCTTGGTTCAGCCCTTGGCCCTGGTCCAGAGAGTGGGACTGTGGGATTCTGCACGCTAGCATGAGTGCCTGACCCCTGACACGTGCCCAGTACAAGTGCAATCAGTTAGCTTGCTGAATTCCTTGAGCTACAACCCTAAGGCATGCATTCATGGAATTATTCTAATTGTCTGGCCCTCGCAGCAGGGCGTAGGCCTCAGCCAGCATTTTTGCCTTCCAAATTTTGCGTCCTTCTAAACAGAACTGTGGCCGCAGTTGCCTATCAATAGCTTGAGGAGGATCTTCCCTGCTGATCAGTGACCTTTGAGTAGAGCCTGACAGAGGAGGGGTTTGGATTGGGAGGGAAGAGCTCATCACCTTTGGCAGCAACTTCAGGCCTGGCCTTGGCTTTGCAGCTTGCTTCCTGGAAGGGACTCAGCAGAGAGATTCTTGCAAAGCCTTGGCCCTCCTGTGATCACCTGGTGCGAGAGGGAGGGGCCACGTCTAAGGTGCTTCAGGGCCCTCAGGGTGACAAGCGGTGGGAAGGAAAGAAGGCAGGGAAGTTGGCTCCAGCAGCCTTTCTGAAGGAAATAGGAAAATGCATGTGTCTTCCAGGTCACGGCCTCTGTGGACAGTGAGGCGGGGGGCATCTTGACATCAGTTACACCAAAGCAGTCTCTGTGTGACGGGCGGTGGCACTCGGTGACAGGTATGATGTCCAGTGGCCTGTTGTTCACACCCTGAAACAGTGTCCCTTTCCATCTGGATTTGAATGTCCCAGATACAGCCTCGCTTTATCAATCCATTAGCGTATGACCCGGCTCAGTCCACCAGACTGACATGGTAAGAAGATGTCCATTCTCAGCCCTGGCTGCATTTATGCAATTCGTGGCTGCTGCAACCTGTTCTCTGTAACATACAGAGAATTTTCTTTTTGAGCTCAGAAAACTGATAATCTGTGTTTTCAAGGCGGTATAACATTATGATTTAGATTTTGGCTCTGAAATCAAAAGGAACAGAGATCACATCTCAGTTCCGGCCCTTACCTAAGTGACCTTGGGCAAGCCACTTAATTGCTCTTTATCTTCAGTTTCCTCCCTCAACACAATGGAGATAAAAATAGGGCCCACCTCCCAGGGTGGTGAAAATCAAATGGGACAACGTATGTAAAGTGCACAACAGTGTCCAATATGCAGTAAGTGCCCAGGAAGTATTTGCTCTTGCTATTGTTCAAGTCCATTTAAGACTACTGCAAACGACTTAGACAAACCACTGGGAGGAGATTAGGCATAGCCTCCCAAACCAAATCTGCTGTTTTATGAATAACTTGTGCACATTAGTTTGGTAATATATTAAACCGTATTGGCTAACATACCTTTTCAAAAAAGAAGAGTAGTCTCTGGTCTAATTTGAATGCTGACTACATTGCAATTAGTTAGGGTTGTTCACACTGGAGGCATTTTATTTGGAGGGTCAAAAGCGACTCAGTTTTCAGAAGTCAGCGTCTCCCTGGAAGGAAGCTAAGATCTCGTGAAATAAAGATGGCTTCTGGAGAGAGCAGCTGGAATCCCAACTCATTCAACTTATAACCAAGCCATCTTGTCAGGCTCCTCAATGCTTGAGAGTCACAATCACTTATCTGGGAAAGAAGAGTGACCATATCTTCCTCACAGATTCATTTGAAGGATTAAATCCTGCAACGTATGTGAAAGCATCTAAATCCCACTTAGTGTTGAAAAACTAGTTGAATTTGTGTCTAGGTTGACGGAATTCCTAGCAATAGTGTTCCCACAGCAATGGGTTGAAAGGAAGCCCGTGGTGAAGCCCTAGTGTAGTCATTAAACATTGGGCAGGGCTGTCCTCAGGTAATCAACCTGACCAGCTTCCTTTCCCACCAGTCACCATAAAACAACACATCTTGCACCTGGAACTGGACACAGAGAATAGCTACACAGCTGGACGGCTCCCCTTCCCACCTGCCAGCACTCAGGAGCCACTGTACATTGGAGGCATTCCAGGTAACTCTTGTCCTGGCTTCTACACCCACGTTGCCCCACGTCAGCTCTTACCATTTCCATCTTAACCGAACAAATCAGTGCCCCAGCCATGGGTTATTAGCTGGGCAGCCGTTGGCTGGACAGTGGAGACAGTGAGGCTCTTTGCTCCAACACATGGGAAAACCCAATTGGTAGCAATGGGCACATTGTATAGCCCAGGCCACATTGCCGCTGCTTCTCCTGTCCCAAGCCTATCGTTCATAAGCCTCTCTTAAGAGGCTACCTTTACCTAGAAGCCTGATAGCAGCAAAGAATCAGGAAAGGGGCTAAAAACTGGTCTCTCCTCCCCAGACATTTAGTTTTACTGATGAGTTATTAAGCTTTGCAGGGCCAGAATGGGAGAACCAGGCAGGTTCTGGAATTTTGCCTGGAAAGAGCCTTGTCATTCTTCCTTGTTTGATGTTCCTCCGGAGAGTTTGTTAATTTTATGGGTCTTCCATGACCCATAAAAAGCACTAGTGTTCAGAGTTATTATCTATTGATTTGGGCTGTGGAATTTGCTTCTTTGAAGAACTTGAAAAATAAGTAGCCTTGTTGGTGATTTATCACAGCAGGCAGGGGCGTGGGGTGCCAGCTCAAAGGAGGAGGTGACTGGCTGGCCTGAGATCCTCGGTCCCTTTAACTCTAATAAGACGATTTTCTAAATTGGGCACATTCACACTCATGGAATGCCTCTCCTTTTCTCTTGAAGCCCACTTGAAGACGCTGAAGCTCCCTGTGTGGAAATCATTTTTTGGCTGTCTGAAGAATATTCAAGTCAACCACATTCCTATCCCTGTCACTGAAGCCATGGACGTCCAGGGATCTGTCAGTCTGAATGGCTGTCCTGATCACTAACACAAACCTATCAGACAGCAAGGGAAGTCACCTTCAAAAGCACAGTTACCCAGCATACCTCCCTGTCTCTGCTCAAGATCATTCTTGACTTAAGACACCATCTAGATGGGATGAATAGCAAGTCTAATTTCGTACTCTGACCATGCACACCCATCATTTTGGCACTCAGTGTTACCTGTGTATTTATAAAAATTCCATGTCTTGAAGGTGATGAACAACTTGTTACATGCTTTGGTAATATCATTTTCCACTAAACATTAAATGCCTTTTAAAGGACATTATTTTCCACCTGGTAAAAAAATAAATATCTTTTAAAGCACTTTAAAAACACAAAAATTGACATGTGTCATGGGGTTGTAACTTAATGGGGTTAAATAAATGCAGTGTACTCTTTAAATGGGGATGTTTGATTAGCATTAAGCCAATGGCTTGTGGGCCACTGTTAATCATACTAATTCTTCAGCACCTGTTCAGTGTGCTACCCACAACACAGTTTTCTACAGATAATTATGAAGCACAGACTTGTGTGGCACTGTGTGTGCTCAGGGTTGGATGTACTGTTCGGCAGAAGACATAATTCCTGCCCTGAAGGAATATGCAGTCCAACTTGGGAGACACACAATATTCACAAAATAGTAAATAACTAACAAACCGAATTAATGGACCTATATTTCCCCTTGGCTTCCCATGTACAGTCTGCTACCAACCAAATCTAGATTATGACTATCAATTCCTTGAGGGCAAAAACTATCCAATAGGGGAGCTGAGATGGATATACGTTCTATAATTAAAGCTTTGCGTGGCAAGCTAACAGAAGTCAACAGGAAGGAGGAATCGCTTCCTGTTTAACCTACAAAACAATGAGACATGTACTAGACCAATATAATTAACCAGCATTGCTCTTCCTAAAGAAGAAGACTATGTAAGCATTTCTGTGCCTTCTACATAGTGTTTGTCCCTCAGAAGAAAAAGAATAAATCTAAACTTTGGATATGGTCATCCTCTGTGGTATCCTTACACCTACCTGCCCTCCACCTCTGAAATGGAGCCACATTCTCTTCAACTCAGTGCTCTTCTTTGACCGTCACACTGTTAGAAAGCATTCTAACACCTGCATCTATGAAACCATGGAATTTTCTCCAGAAGAGTCCTGAGATGATGGTTCCCCATTACAGGGAGTATTCAACAGTGGCTGCCTGGTAGGCCTTAGCGATGCTATGCTGACTCAGGGATTGAATTACATGACCTTAAGTTATATGTTTTCTGAAGACATTGACTTTTAACTGGAAACTTCCATCAGTTATTTACCACCCAGATTCTGAGTCTTCATGAAGAGCATCCATTGTACCCGTCTTGGCACTAACTACACTAAATGGGTGGTTCTCTCTTTGGCTTCCTGGTGTTAATCTAATTGACTCTACAGAGTTATTTATTCGTGCTGATTATTCCTGAGCCCTTCCGAGATTCATCATAAAGGGACGGCAAATTCACCTAATACCGCTGGTTTTCCTTCCATTTTGTAATAGCTTGAAGACCAGCTGTCCATCTGCCTTTTCTGAGTATAATCCCAGCCACCAGAAGGCACAGAGTGTCACAGACAGAATGACAGTTAAGGAAACAGAAAGCCCTCAGCATGCCTGTTCTCAGATCGTAAATGTGTGTTCCCTGAAAGGAACGTTTACAGCTCTTAACTAAACCATCAGCGCAATTATTTGTAAACTGTGAAGTGCCATACAGATATTATCACTGGTGTCCTCTCCCTGGCTCAAAGTCTCTCACAACTTGGGCTGACCTTGGGCTGAGAGGCTAAGTAGGGACAGTGGGTGCACTGGTGGCCGGCTCTGGCCAGTTCATGAGAGGTCCACAGTTGGTGTCCTTCCGGTCAGGGGAAAATGGGGCCGGCACTGTGACAAAGCCAACAGCACGGCACTATTCCCTGAACAGTCACTTCAGGGACATCAGGTGACTAGGAAGCAGTCATGCGTGTGCCTTCATGGGCCGCTTCCTGTAGCATCTCCCAGGGCACCTCTTGACCTCATTTCTCAGTACAAGGGGGGTTGAGTTTTTGTCACACTGGCAATAACCCCGTGGCAGAGGACGATGGCCCTGGACAGAACATGTTGACGTTCCCCTCCTCCCGTGTGGGAAGTGGTCTCACTTCCCCACAGAGACCTTTGACTCAGCTCCTTTCTGTGCCACCCCCCACGCCGTGTTGCGCTGCAAAATCCCCAAGCCCCAGCTCTGCCCTCCCTACCACATGGACTCCTGTCTCTCTCCCAGCTCCTGGGGCTCTCCAACTTTAGGTAAGTCAGTGCTAGCCCCAGAAAGGCCAGATTCTTTCTTACAAATGATAGGCTTAAAGCCAGCATATGAGTGGAACCACTTATAAATAGCATTATTGTATTGAATACAACTGGCATATGTGTTCATTATAGAAAAATCAGAATATGCAGAAAAGCATAAAAATCACCCATAGCTCATCACTCAGAAACCTGTAGGTCTTTAGTTACATGTCTATATTCTTTTTATTTTTTAAAAATTTTTTTCAGTTTGTTTAGCTCTGAGAGAGAGGAAGACAGAGAGAGAGAGAGAAGGGCAATGACTCCATGCTGTCAGTACAGAGCCCAGCTAGGGACTCCATCTCACGAACCGGGACATCATGACCTGAGCTGAAATTAAGAGTTGGATGCTCAACCCTCTGAGCCAGCCAGGCACCCTGTATTCATTTTAAATGCACATGTATTTCTTTACAAAATTACAATTACGCTGTATGTATTTTTCTGTGGTCTTAAAAACTATATGGTGAATTTTCCCAGGTCTTTGACTGTAGACCATTCCATCAAATAAATTTATCATAATGTATTTAACCAACCTCCAACCACTTACACAGCTGGGTTGTTTCAACTGTTTGTAATCATAAGCAACACTAAAATGAATCTGGCAGGGAATATATACTTATTTATTTTCTTATACTTAGAAGTAAAACTACCCGGTCAAAGGATATGAACATTTTCATGTTTATGGTGAGCTATTGCCACATTTTTTTTCCCCCTAAGAGGTTATATATCCACTTGCATTCACATCTTTTTTAACTGGGCTTGGGTCTGATGCCGCTAAATATAAAGTCACCAACATCTGCCCCTGGTCTTCAAGACAGGGAGCAGCTGCTGGAGCAAGCCAGCCCATAGACAGCCACCATGCTCTGGGCTCATCTGAGCCCAAATCACATGCCTGGAATCACAGCATGGTCAGCTGATAGGGCTCTGGGTGACTCTGCACAACACCTTAAGACTTAAAACACGGGCAGCTTTATTATTTGTCCCTAAGAACCCATGCTAAGCCCCAGACAGCCAGATTTGCAGAGCATGCCGCTCTCAGAGCGCTCCAAACCAGTGCCAAGCCTTGGACATGCTTCCAGAAGGGAACAAGGCACTCCTCCGAGCGCTTGAAGAATGTACTGTGCTCTCTGGGCAGCCAGGGGCTTCCTCCTCCATCTTATAGGTTTGATTTCTTTGTGATTGAAACTTAAACAAGGATTCACTGAGGCAAAATTTCCAGGGCTTACACACATAGAAACTGGAGCCTCTATCCCCTTCATCGCCGTGCCCAACCCTCCCCCCATGGGAAAAATCCAAAACGGACACTTTTTTTTCTTTTCATGAGTGATAATGGTCATGATAGCACTGGTGGTAGGTGACAGATACGTCATGTTTCCACTTTCTTGATTTGCCAAACAATATAACTTAATTCCTTGCCGTTGAAATTCTAGCAGAATGTCTGTAGCCTGAGTGTAGAAAGTAGAGACAAAATTGGAATATCTCCTTTAATCATCCTCAGGGTGAGGAGTAATTAGTTTCCCAGAGGGCAGAGTCCTGAGATGATGGATACTATTTACTGAAAATGTTTCTTTTCTCCTTTGTTCATAAAGACTTCTGTGACCTCAGAATGTGAAGTGTACCTTTCCACTGCCAGAAGGTTTTATTCCCCATAAATTTTGAATGTGTGGTTTATTTTACTCTACATTGAGTCCTTGATAAGATGAGAACTGAGAGTTTCAGAGAGGGAAGGACCGGAACTTTCTGCAGCGCTTCAGTCTTTGTGAATGCACACAGATAGCACAGCACACACTGATTAAACCATCCCTTGCTCAAAAGGCTTTTGCTAATTAATCGCTAACCTTTCCATCATTTGATACTCAGGGAGCATGCATTCCTGGACAGTTAGAATGGAGCTGGGTATCTGGTGATGTAGCTTGGCATGTTGTCCGTTCAGAAGGCAACTATCAGGGTTCACCTGGGTGGCTCAGTCAGTTGGGCATCCGACTTCGGCTCAGGTCATGACCTCACTGCTCGTGGGTTCAAGCCCCGTGTCAGGCTCTGTGCTGACAGCTCGGAGCCTGGAGCCCGCCTTGGATTCTGTGCCTCCCTCTCTCTCTGCCCCACCCCACTGCTCAGGCTCTGTCTGTCTCTGTCTCTCTGTCGCAAACATAAATATTTTTAAAAAATTCTTTTTTTAAGGCAAATATCAGTACTTAACTATTCCTGCAGGAAATACACTTCCTCAGAAATAGCCTGTGCTCTGGAAAATAAGTGAGCATATCTAGCATTCAACTACAGTACTGTCAACAGAGAATAAGATCCTTAATGTCATGTTTCTGCAGTGTCTTTGGTGAGGGGAGGCCCCTCATGGGCTGAAGTGCCGTGGGACTTCTGACTTGCTTCCTGCACCAAAACTACCCAGCTGCTGCTGTGACAGCTCCTGACAAGCCCAGATCCCAGTGGGGTTTGTCTCCTGCTCTACTGTTCCCCGTTATCTGTCTCTTCCCACTTCCTCACAATTAGAGGGAAGTCCCTTGGGAAAACCACCATCCCCCTCCCCCCACCTTCAGGAAACACTTCGGCTCTTGGAAGTCCTTTGAATCTGAGCCACTCCTTGCTGTCCTGGGCCTATAATTTGAGTTGAGTTTCAAGCATGCAAGGTTTCCGTCGTATGGCTTAGAA